CAGATGCCCCACCCATTCTGGCGGGCTTTGGCTGGCTTTGGCGGGCTTCGTCACCATAGGCTCGTGCAGCTCCACTGCCTAGCCATTGGTTAGTTTTTAATACACTGCACGAACCAATGGCCGTGCAGTTTCACTGCGTGAATGAAAAAAGTCTTCAGTTCAGGAGAAAAAAGGCTTTTTCCCATATGCGTCTAGCAAGACGCAGTACGAGTGTAGTATCTAAAGGGAACTCTTCCAGCACCGTTTAAGAAATGCATGTTATTAATGCATCAAATCATGAGGTGTATTGAGAAGAGGTATGCTATTACATTGCTAAGCATTCGATCTTGTGGTTTTTGCATCACTAGAGATGAGAATATCAGAGAGCCAAGAACAGAACACCCTAGCATCCACATAGAAACATCACAACAGCATCTTAGCAATATGGTAGTAAGCTTTATATTGACAAAGCACCATTTCTATTGAAATTAATGTTTCATGTTAGTCCATGTCTTTTATTTTGACAACATTCCTGTTCACAATTATTATTATTATTATTTATTTTTTATTTTTTTAATCTATATTGAATTTTTTTTATCATTATATTTATATTACTAATTATATTTTTATTTATTTTTAAAAAAATCTTTATTTTAATTACATTGTAATCTGTCATTGCTGATCGCTTTTGGGGAAATGTAACGAGTTACAATATTGTGTATTTCAATTATTTATATGGAAATTAACTTTTTTTCTCTCATGTCAACTGGCTCTCTTCTCCAGAGTGGGAGTGTGATACTTGGCTTGCTGTCAGTTTTTATATTAGAAATGCTATTTTTTGCTGTGAACAAGTGATTTGTGCCAAATTAGTTTGCATACTTTTTTTTTTATTGCAGATCGCAGGAGACATTGTTTCACACACCTCAGGTGTGTGTGTGTTTGTGTGTGTGTCTTTTATGCATCCAAATGTTACAAAAATGTCTTTTTTTGTGGTTTTAATTTGAATAGATTTATGGCATCTGTACCTGTGGGGTCAAGGCTGGAAAAATGGCTACTTTGAGTCTCAAATTCAGTTATTTTTTCCACTAAAAAGAATTATAACAAATGGATTCAACTCACTCAGATTTAGTTTATTTTACCAGCTGTATTTTGCCAATTTAAAACACACTTATTTGGTCAGGTGATTATTGCTTGCAACACGTTACCCCTTTTGTAATTTTCAGCTTCATTACATAATTTGTCTGCTTTCATCATCATAAACTTTGTTGTTTTATTTACTTGTATATGTGTGTTGTGTGTTTGGCAGGCAACCGAGACCTCTTTCTTTCTCAGAGCTCTAAATGTGTCAGAGCAATTCTTACTGCAGTGGCAGGATCTGTAGAGCTTATTGGAGAAGCGATTACAGCCACTGTAGAGACGTCCTCAGCCTCACCCATCAGCACTCTCTAGTGCACTACATGCATCAGAGTGGAGCACCAGACCTGTTATCAGTTCTGTTATCAGACCAGTATCTGTTCACATTATATTTAGTGGTGCTTGCTGAGAATCACAATGAAATAGAAGTAGCGACAAATCTATTCTTACATACCGTGACTTACAATCCTAGGAAATAAAGTAATATAAACTGAGATTTGTTTTTTCATCAGTTTTTGAATAGATGGAGGAATATCTGAATAAAAGCTTGAGGTTGATTGTAAGAAAGGGGTGGAGTTTAAGCGAATAAAAAAAACACTATTAAAGTTTTTTTTTTTTAAGTTTTGTTTGAGTGAAGATTATTAAGGTATTTTTTTTACAAGAAAATACAGTTTCAGTCTTTGTACTTCAAAATGTCACATTTAATTCAATGTGTAATTTTTCTTTGTAAAAGTGAAACTTTTTTCTAACAATTTCTGAGTGAAAATTGTAAAAGGTGTAGTTTCAGTTCAGTTTTGTTTTTAGCAGATCTAAATGTGAGTTTATGGCCAATTTTTAGCAATTTTGTTGTGTGCTTTTGTCGTTTTTTTTATACATATGTATTACTACTATTTAGGTTTTATTTTATTTTGTTTGCGCCACCAGAGAGAAGTCTGTCGTTTCATTGGAAGATTGTGCTATGAAATTTTGACATAAATATGTGGTCAAGAGAAATGTTAAACAATGAGATTAAAACAATGCACAATAAGAAAACATGTAGAAAATAAGGTACATTTTCATTTCATGCTGAGTTTCACCTGTTACACCAGATGTGCGCAAAGTTTAAGACAAAAAAGCAAAATCAAACTTACTGTACTTGAGGGTCGTGGGCCAAAAATAAATACTGCATTATATTATATTAAATGTATTACATTTTAAACCATTTTTATATAATTGAAATAACAGTTTTTTAAATTTTTAAATAGTTGTAATAAATTTAAATGCAAAAATAAAACTGAAAATATTAAAACAAAAATATAAATTAGAAATTATATGCTTTAATGCCATGTTTTTGCCTATTTTTGTCCCCTGCATGGTTTGCCTGGTTGGGCCAAAAAAAAAAACGTATTGCAAAGAGGACAGAAGGCTCAGATCTTGAGACCAGACCTTCTAAAAGCTCTTTTCATTTGAGGCAATGTAGAAATGTCCTGTGTTGGGGGCCCCTGGGGGCCCTTAACATGATTCAGCACTAAAATATCATAGCGACCTGGTGTAGGTTTTTTTTTGACGACTAAAGTTATGACTTCAAGTTTTGCACTAGCAAGCTCTTTTCCCGATTTCCTCAAATGTGAAAATCTAGTTTTAACATGACGACTTGCGTTCATCTTTTTGTTAGCGTCAGCGGCGCAGCGGCTGGGATATGAGCAGTGATATCCTGGGCATATTGGAACCACTTCCAGCTGGCTTGAAAATTAAATTATTCGCAGATGCGCCGACAAGCGCAGCATCGTTTTATTGCCTTCGCAAGTCTCAAGTTGTTGGCGGGTACGACACAGAAAAACTCTCTCCCTGTCACCCTCCAGTCATGAGCGACTCCTCTAATGAGGCTAGCAGGCCAACGAGTGGGCCGAAGCCACTGAAACCTCCAGTTCTAACATATCGATTGGTGTGAGGAGAGCATATCTGGCGCCGACGTCTGACTTCTCACCTCGTCCCAGACTGAGTCCTCATTCAGTCCTTGTAGACATGGCTGCTAGACACACATTCGCACCCACATACTCAACTCACGGCTCTATTCACAGAGGAAGACTAGAGCCAATGTGTGTTTGCAGTGCACACGCAAGCCTGCTAACAGTTTGTGGAAATAGAAATGCTGTGACCGTGAAAATGAATGAAGATAGTCTCTTTAGTCTCTATAAGGAGCATGTTTTACACAGTTTAGCTAATTAGTGGTGCTTGCAAAGGGAAGCGTCATGATTACTATTGCTCATACTTAAAGGAATATTCAGGGTACAATATACGCTAAGCTTAATCGACCGAATATGTAGTATAATGTTGATTACCACAAAAATAATTAAGATGCATCCCTCATTTTCTTAGAAAGAAAGAAAAAAATTACTGTACACTGAGACAATTTACAATGGAAGTGAATGGGGCCAGTGTTTGGAGGATTATGTATAAATGTAAAGCTTACAATTTTATAAAAGCCCTTTATTTACATACATTTTCCTGTTAAAACATTATTTTGGTTTTAAATCTGTTTAAATCGTTGCTACTGTAAATAATTTTTACAGTTGTTTTAGCTTTTGGAATTAGCTTTTGTTTTTATATTTTTTTATATTAGGTTTTTTATTTCTTGTCATTTTTTGTGCTTTAGTCCTTTTTATTTTTTTATTTATTTTTTTAAAGTTTAATTTTAGATTTATTTATAGTTAGTAATTTTAGTGCTTCAACTTAAACCTCTAATTTCTCATCTCTAATTTTTGTTTAGTTTTTCATCTAATTTTATGTTAATATATAATATTTCATTTAAGCTTTATTTCAATAATTTAAGTTTCCTTTTTTTAAGTTTTAGTTAATGATAATAAACTTGCTTTTCGTGGTGGCAAAGTTGCAAAATTGGATATAACATTACAGAAAAGATTTGTAAGTAATTTTTTTCATGTTTTTTTTTTTTCAATTATATTTTAACATTTACAGTTTTACCCCATTCACTTGCCATTGTAAGTACCTGATTTTATTTTACTTTACTTTACTTTACTTTACTTTATTGAAGGACAAGTGGAATATCAATATTATTCCACAAATTTGGTTGAGCTTAACTTGCATTAAACCCTGAATAAGGTTTGTTTAAAGTTAATGGTTCATTGTTGGTGTTGTACAGTATTGCCGTTTTTTTGCTGTTTTTAAAGAGATCATTTCATTTGCTTTCTTTTACCTGCAGAGTTGTTTCATTTATCAACCAGTGTCTCCTACTTCCTTTGTGCAGATTTCCTTGCTGAAACAGAGCCTGGAGATGCAGCTTTCCCAATCCCAGCATTCCCTGCAGCAGCTGCAGGCACAGTTCAGTCAGGAGCGAGAGCACCTGGGACAGCAGCTGCAGGAAATGGAGCTGGAGCATCAGCGCAGGGAGCAGCGGCTGCAGGAAGCCCACTGCTGCGCTATACAGGACATGCAGGAAGCCCGCCAGCACGACCTCAAGGTAACCACAACAAAACATAATCTCCCACCTGTCTCACGCAGAGACTGCACTGACCTGTACACTGTAAAAAATGACCGTGAATTTAACGGTAAAAGACTGTAAAAATGCTACAGTAAAAACCTGTTAAATGGTTAACGGTAAATTCCCCTACTATATACGGTGAAAAACTGTATTGGACATTACATGTATTGGACATTAATTTTACAATTACGGTATTTAACTGTACATTTAAGTTAAAACCGTAAAACCTAATACGTTGCAACCACAGCTGCCGGTTTTTTACCGTAAATTTTACGGAATTTTTTTTACAGTGTATGCACGCTCTTATCCTTTCCTTTCACCTCCTAGCTCTCTGTTATTTGAGTTTTTATGACTCTGTGTTCCACATCCAGCTGGCACAGAACAGCATACGCCATTTACGTTCAGTGGATACTCTCCAAAATGATGAACGAAGGTCTTATGGGTTTGGAACAACATAAGGGTGAATAATTAATGACAGAATTTAGATTTTTGGGTGAACTATCCCTTTAACAAACCATTAACTACGACTTTTGCCTCCATAAACTCCTAATTGGCTGCTTATTAATAGTCAGTAAGGTATTTGTTAAGTTTAGGTATTGGGTAGGATTAGGGATGTAGAATATGGTCATGCAGAATATGTGCTTTATAAGTACTAATAAGCAGCTAATATGTTAATAATAGGCATGCTAATAAGCAAGTTAATAGTGAGAATACTAAAGTGTTAATATTAATAATATTATTAGGTTCTTGTATTGTTATTTTTCATTATTTATTCCCATTTTATATATATATATATATATATATATACACAGTGGGTACCAAAGAGTGAAAAATTTAAGGGGGTCTGAATACTTTCCGTACCCACTGTATATATATACCAAGACACTAAATTAATTTTTTTATTTTATTTTGCATATGTATACACACACACACACACACATCGAGAGAGATATATATAATACATATAATACATTATTATATTTATATATATATATATTAAATATATAAATGTATTTACATATTTATCTGTTATTATACACAGATGTTGACAGTAGGATTATTCCATTGCAAATTTATTTTCTCCGTTTACAACTTGGATTATTCAAATCTGTTGATGCTGGTCTGATTGCAGTTTTTTTAGTGGACTGTTTGTATGGCTTTGAAATGAATGACTTGAGTTGCTTACATCAGCAAGGGTGAGATTATATTGTTACAGTTTCTTTGTACAGTCAGTGGTCACTGGTGTGTGACATGTTTTATTTGCTCACCGAAGCCATTTTTATTGGTATCTGCTGTTTGGCGAGCATCCATTCCCAGTCTTTGTGGATTGTGGATGAGACTTCATAGCGATTGTCAACAGTCTGACTACATGAGACCACATTCACTCCAACTTCCATTTGCTGCTGAAGCTCTTGCCTTGTACAGAGCCAGCCAAGCAGTTGCGGACCGTAATCCTTTCAGCCTATTTGTCCACTGGTGAAATTGACTGTTAGCCCCGTTTGCCCTCACGCGAGGCTCTCTCTCTGTCCCCCAATAGATTTGATGTGGTGAGGCAGATCTGCCACAGATCCAGCCCTGCCCACAGCTCATCTCTCAGGTCCTTCTCCTCCCTCTATCCTGGAATAACCTGCTCACTCTCGGCTCTCCTGTCTGTGGGTTAGTAATGGCTGAGCGCTTGCTGTCACAGGCTGTAATGTCTGCTCTATCCAGTACCTGGCCCCTGACGACTCCAGCAGAGAGAAACTCTCACTCCGACTGGAAATGATTACCTTGAGCTGGGCTGAAGTGGCTCCACACCGCAGGCCTGGAGATGAAGGCTGCGAGCGGGGACGGCGGGAGGAGACCGCTTGAATAACTGCTGATAAGTTGAGATTGACTCAACAAATGCAGCGTCAGTCAGAATCACAGGCTTCAGTTCACTGTTTTAAAAAGTAGTGGATGCAGTCGGGCTGCACAGGCTTGTTGTGATGGCACTAAATGGAAAAGGCTTAGCTCATGAATATTAATTAGGTCATGGACACATCATTTAATATGACCTGTTACTGATTTTTGATTATGATTAGTGAAGAGTAACTAAAATTATATGTAATCATGAGTTTTCAGCTTTTACAGACCCAAGGACCCATTCATAGATTCATAGATAGATAGATAGATGGATGGATGGATAGATAGATAGATAGATAGATAGATAGATAGATAGATAGATAATTTAAGCACGGTGAGATACAAATTTGCAACCTTTTAATTTTTTATTCCGTTGCAGAAAAAAAAAACAGAATTGCAAAATGTAACCTCAGAATTGCAAGAAGAAAGATTTCTCGCTATTCCGAGTTTATATCTTGCAAATCTGAGTTTGTATCTCACAATTCTGACTTTTTCCTCAGAATTGCAAGATATAAACTCAGATTTGTGAGATATGAGCGATAAAATTACAATATTATCTTGCAGAAAAAAACTCAGAGTTGAGAGAAAAACATCAGTATTAAATAAATTTTATTTAATTATATACATTTGCGATTAGCTTTTTAATTAGCTATTCCACTGCTGAAACAAAAAAAAAAAAATAAAACAGAATTGCATGATGTAACCTCATTATTGCAAGAAGAAAGATTTCTCGCTATTCCGAGTTTATATAATAAAAAAAGTTTATATCTCATGATTCTAACTTTTTCCTCAGAACTCTGAGTTATGGGATATAAACTTGCAATTCTGAGAAGAAAATGTGAAATAATGAGATATATAATTCACAGTTGCAAGAAAAAAGTCTGAATTGTGAGATTAAAAGCAGCAATTAACTTTTCATTTTTTATCCCATGGTGGAAATAAGCTTCAATATACTCATCCAAACATATAGCATTTACAATCTATTACTATTTTGAATGATTTGTTTTTCATTTATTCTGAAGCAGCTGCACTGATTTAAGTCTTGTCATACATAGTGTACTACTATAAGAATTACTGTGAAAGTTTGGCAAGTCTAAAAAGAAAGCTGTTTTGTGGTCCTTGAGCTTTTCCAAAGTTGAGTAGTCCTGACTCAAAGCATCATAAAAACTGCTGGAATGAAAACAGATAGTCGGTTTCCAGATCTTTTATGAGGGGGTAAACTGCATTAAGTGCCTACCAAAGCTAAATAAATCTAGTTTGAGAAGACATGAGAGAGACGTTTTATATCCTGCCTCACCTGGCCATAGGGCAGTGGTGAGGCATTGCAGAGCTCTTACACTGGGTTATAGCCACCTTTCACTGGTATTGATCACACAGTTTTCCCCTTACAACCTCTAGTATATTCCTTTGGATATATTCTAAGGGTTTCTGAAACCTACTTTTATTATTCATCCTTTAGGTGTTTGAGATTCATTTTTATTCTAGAGCATACACAGAAATTCTAGAATATTCTGTACTTCCTTGAAAGTAATAAATAATATGTATTTATTTACTTATTTGTGGTTATTAATAGTAATAGCACTGTGGTTAATTTTATACTAGAGCAAACTAAGAAATTCTAGAGAATTGTGTTCTTCCTTGCCAATAAAAACACACAGGCACACCTATAGAGCCATAAGAATTAATTAATTAATTCATTCATTCATTCATTCATTTTTGCTATTATTAATAAGAGGTTTTATTAGTTTTATCAGAAAATTTTATGAATCAATTAATTAAAAAATGTTTTTTAAATTAATTTAAAAATAATTTTTTTTATTAATAATAATCATAATCCATTATTATTATTATGTCTATGTCTATGTCCAAAAACACCCCTTAGCCATGATACAATAATTGTAGTACTGTGATACTTTTAACAGTAAATCATTAATGCAGTGATATTTTAGCATCATTTTTAGTATCTATTATAGTTTTTATTAGTGTTTTGAATTCACTTTTATTTTTATGTTTTCATTGTTTGTAATAAACTGTGTAACTATTTTTTAAATTGTTTGTGCTTATGCCATTTTTATTAGTTTTTGTTTGTTTCTAAATACTGCAGTTTTAATTTATTTTTATTTCAGTTTTATTTTTATTTCAATTTGTAATTTTAGTGTTTCAACTTAAAGGCAACATTTCTAATGTGTTTTCTAAGTTTTTCCTGTGATATTTGTTTTATTTGAACTTCATTTCAATTAACAGAAGTGTTTTAATATAGTTTTAATGTTTTTTAAGGATAGCGACACTGCTATCAATATAAACTGCTATACTTATTTAAAGGGGTCCTATTATGCTCTTTTACAAAGTCTTGATTTTGTTTTGGGGGTGTACTAGAACATGCTCTCATGCTTGGTGGTTCGAAAAATGCATTATTTTTCACATAATTTACATTATTAAAATACCTTTCTCCCCAGTCTGGCACAAACGGCTCGATTAGTTCTGGGTTTTAATGAAGGCCCGCCTTTCGAAAAAAACGAAATGTGTTGTGATTGGTTAGCTGTCCCAGTGCATTGTGATTGGCGAACAGCTTAGACGGCGTTTCAGTACTGCAACGCCCCTTCCTCCGTCTTTTCTTGAAAAGGGATTTTTAAAAAACAAAATATCTCCCTTTGGAGTGGACTTTGAGATTTGTAACTTTCTAGATCTTTTTTATGCCCAAACATACACACTACACACTGACTAAAATTAAAAAAGTGAAAAAGCATAATAGGACCCCTTTAACACTTCAAGCTATCAATATAAAGTGCTATCAATATAACTGTTATCAGTATAAACCTTTGCATTTATAGTGGGTTGTTTTCTGTACTTCAGTGTTTGAGGGGGATTCTCTCTTATTTATCTGAAAACCGTGTGAGTGTTGAATCCTAAAATAACTCACTAATTAATGCACAAGCTTTATTGGCAGGAAAAGAAGCAAAGTGTAATTTTTCCCACCCCAGATTCATTTCCACATAAGGAATGTGACATCATCCTCGTAGCACTTGAGGAGGTGAAAATGGCACTATGACATTAGAGTGGGAAGAAATGTGTGGAATAAACATCACAACTCTGCATTTGTGTGTGTGTGACTGCTGTAGTCATTCAGATTAAAAGCATCCTTCTGTAGATGTTTTTCTCAAGTGTGTGTGTGTGTGTGTGTTGCAGCTCAGGCCGCTGTTGTCTCTGATAGTTGTCTGAATGACGGAAATGACCTGACCTTTTCAGTTTTACCGAGCCATTGGGCTGCTGGAGGAGTCGGCTTACTCTGGAAAAAACATAAACTCGCAGAACTGACACCACAGCCGTTTGATGCATAATGTTTCTTTAGCTAGCAAAAGATGTGTCAGCAACACACTCCACACAATATGGAACTTCAATGATTCATTAGTTAATGAGTATAAGCAAAATTGTCACTGAATATTTCTGGTATCATCAGCCAACATTAATTCTCTGTTTCAAAAATATGTGAGCTGCCTTTCTGGCTACTGCCTAGCTGATAGAAGATACTAGCACACATAAATATTGGGTGAAATGAATGCTGTACTGTAAGTTACCATCTCACGATTTGGAACAGAGCTTGGGAAAAATACTTGTGGCATAGCGTAGATCACATGCTTTCACAAATCCAGCTCAAAACATTTCTTCCTTGCAATCCCACTTTTTCACCACCATAATTTCTTGTCATTTCTCTTTTCTATAGAAGTTTATATATTTTATATAAATAAATAAATAAATATATTGCAAAAGTGTCTATATATATATATATATATATATATATATACTAGGCTATACAATCATGGGGAAGACTGCTGATCTGACAGTTGTCCAGAAGACAATCATTGACACCCTTCACAAGGAGGGTAAGCCACAAACATTCATTGTCAAAGAAGCTGGCTGTTCACAGAGTGCTGTATCCAAGTATGTTAACAGAAAGTTGAGTGGAAGGAAAAGGTGTGGAAGAAAAAGATGCACAACCAACCGAGAGAACCGCAGCCTTATGAGGATTGTCAAGCAAAATCGATTCAAGAATTTGAGTGAACTTCACAAGGAATGGACTGAGGCTGGGGTCAAGGCATCAAGAGCCACCACACACAGACGTGTCAAGGAATTTGGCTACAGTTGTCGTATTCCTCTTGTTAAGCCACTTCTGAACCACAGACAACGTCAGAGGCGTCTTACCTGGGCTAAGGAGAAGAAGAACTGGACTGTTGCCCAGTGGTCCAAAGTCCTTTTTTCAGATGAGAGCAAGTTTTGTATTTCATTTGGAAACCAAGGTCCTAGAGTCTGGAGGAAGGGTGGAGAAGCTCATAGCCCAAGTTGCTTGAAGTCCAGTGTTAAGTTTCCACAGTCTGTGATGATTTGGGGTGCAATGTCATCTGCTGGTGTTGGTCCATTGTGTTTTTTGAAAACCAACGTCACTGCACCCGTTTACCAAGAAGTTTTGGAGCACTTCATGCTTCCTTCTGCTGACCAGCTTTTTGAAGATGCTGATTTCATTTTCCAGCAGGATTTGGCACCTGCCCACACTGTCAAAAGCACCAAAAGTTGGTTAAATTACCATGGTGTTGGTGTGCTTGACTGGCCAGCAAACTCACCAGACCTGAACCCCATAGAGAATCTATGGGGTATTGTCAAGAGGAAAATGAGAAACAAGAGACCAAAAAATGTAGATGAGCTGAAGGCCACTGTCAAAGAAACCTGGGTTTCCATACCACCTCAGCAGTGCCACAAACTGATCACCTCCATGCCATGCCGAGTTGAGGCAGTAATTAAAGCAAAAGGAACCCCTACCATGTATTGAGTACATGTACAGTAAATGAACATATTTTCCAGAAGGCCAACAATTCACTAAAAATGTTTTTTTTATTGGTTTTATTTTATTGGTTTTTGTTAAATGTGAGCCAAAATCATCAC